TGGCAAGGGAGCTACCTACAATGTGCAGCAGACCTCTCCTGACTCACCCACTGCTCTCCTCAGTAGTGTATTTCATTCATTCTGCCTGTTCCGTTCCCCACTCTGTCTCTGGTGAATCTTCTCATCCCCTACACCTCTGGCCTGTACCAGAGGTATGCATAAATAAATAAATCTTTAAAAAAATACTTGGGATAAAAGGAACATACCATAATATAATAAAGCTATATATGACAAACGCACAGATAACATAATTCTTGTTGGTGAAAAAATAAAAGCCTTTCCTTTAAGGTCTATAACAAGACAAGGATGTCCACTCTCACCACTGCTTTTCTATGTAATACTGAAAGTCCTAGCTAGAGCAATTAGGAAAGAGAAAGACATACACAGAATTCAACAGGGAAAAGTATAAATAATTATTTGCAGATGATATAATAATATATAGACAGAGCCTAAAATCTCCATGGAAATATTAATTAAAATAATAAACCAATTTAGTAAAGTAGAAGGTACAAAATCAACAAACAAAAATCAGTTGCCTTCCTATATGCAAACAATCAGTCGGAAGAGGAGAAAATAAAGACAGTCATCCTATTCACAATTGTACCCCAGTCCCAATTAATGCCTGGAATAAACCTAACTAACATGGTGAAAGACCTATACAAAGAAAATGATAAAACATTGTTAAAATAAATAGAAGAAGACAAAGAATGGCAAGACATTGCCTGTTCACAGATCAAAAGATTTAGCATCACCAAAATGGCCATCCTACCAAAAGGAATTTGCAGATTCAATACAATTCCAATAAAAATCCCACTGTATAATATATTAAAGAACAACATTATCAGGCAACTTCAATCAGAGACACTCTGTAGGACTGGGGGAGGGAGAGGGATCAAACCAGGGGTGGGAAGAGCACAAAGGACAATGGTGATGGTGCACAGGTGAATTGGTGGTGGGAAATTTTTACAGGGACTACAAACTGAGAGGAGAAAGTATGCATTGTACAAAAAGGAAGAATGATGTAAAAATATACATAAAATAAAAATAAGGAATTAAATAAAGTAATGTAATGAAAAAAATTCAGTGGCATTCTTCAAAGAAATAGAACAAATTGCTGAAATTCACGTGGAATCACAAAAACCCCAAATAGCCAAAACTCACTTGGCTAAAATTACAAGGAGGCACTATACTCCCAGAAGTCAAAGTATACTACAAAGCTATAGTAATAAAACATCATGGTACTGGGGAAAAAAACAGATATACAGACCAATGGAATCAAACTGAAAACCCAGAAATAAAGTCACACACACACACACACTCACGCACACACACTCACACACACACACAGTCAATTAATGTATGACAAAGGAGCAAATAATATACACTGGAAAAAGGACAGTCTCTTCAATAAATGGTGCTGGAAAAATGGACTGCACACGCAAAAGAATGAAACTAGATTACAACCTCACACCATATACAAAAAACAAACTCAAATTGGAAAAAATACTTGAATGTAAGACCTGAAACATAAAATATACAGAAGAAAAGATAGGACAAAACATTCCATGACATACAGAAACATCTTTGTGGATTCATCTCCAGAAGCAAAGGAAGTGAAGGAGAAGATAAATAGCTGGGACTACATCAAACAGAAAAGCTTCTGTACAGCAAAGGAGACAATAAGTAAAATGAAGAGACAATCCATACCTTGGGAGAAAATACTTGCACTCCATATATCTGATAAAAGACTGATAACAAATATCTACAAAGAATTTACACAACTCAACAAAAGCAAGGCAAACAATGCAGTCAAAAAATGGGCAGAAGATCTAAAAAGACTCTTCTCCAAAGAAGAAATGCAAGTGGCCAACAAGCATATGAAAAAATGTTAACCATCACTTATATCAGGGGAATGCAAATTAAAACCACAATGAGATAATACCTCACACTTGTGAGAATGCCTCCCCCACCCCCGCAAGAAAAAACTGGCAACAACCAATCCTGGCGAGGATGTGGAGAAAAGGAACTCTCTTACACTGCTGGTGGGACTGCAAACTTGCCCAGTCACTATGGAAAGCTGCGGAAAGAACCCTCAAAAATACTAAAAATGGGTCTTCTGTATGACCCAGTGATTGCACTCTTAGGAATTTACCCAAAGGACACAAAAACACTAATTAGAAAGGGAACCTGTACTCCTATGTTTATTGCAGCAATATGTACAATAACTAAGATATGTGGATGGTCTCATATATAATCTAGAGAAACCAAACAAAAGCTCAAGAAAAAGACAAAACTAGCAAGCTGACCATAGATCTGAAGCATATCGCAAAGAAGGGGTTGATAGGTGGGCAAAACAGGAAGGGATGAACATAAGGGAGTATGGTGGTGGTTCATGGGTGATATGGTGGTGGAAGAACTATGGGAACTACAATGATGTAAGAAACTTTAAAATATAAATAAAAATTAAAAAAATAGCTAAGTGCTCCAAAACAAATGAACTGATCAAGAAGATGTTGTATATATACACAATGGAATACTAGTCAGTGATCAAAAAGGATAAGCTAATGCCATTTGCAGAAACATGGATGGAGCTGGAAGAGATTATGCTAAGCAAAATAAGTCAGAAGGAAAAAAGAAAAATATCAGATGGTTTCACTTATAGGTGGAAAATAGGGTACCGAACAAAGGGTCAGGAAAAAGCAAAGCTTGCAGGCAAACTATAGATTTGAGGTGTACAGCAGGGGAGGAGGAGAGAAGTAAAATAAGGAGAGAGAAGAGCACAAGGGATTATGGTGATGGTTTAGCAGTGCTATGGTGATGGGAGACTTATGGCAACTACACCTGAGGGGAGAAATCAAATATTGTACAAAGTGAACAATGATGTAAGAAAGAGAAAAAAAAAAAGAAAAACAAACAAACAAAACCCCCCAAGAAGTCTTGGATATTGGAAATGAAAATTGTGGGTCAGAATTCACATTATTATTTATTTAAAAACTTGTATACTTGTCAACATTTTCCAAGCTAAACCTAGAAGGGAATCACTTCCAAAATACCAATAATATGTATCAATTTACCCCAATAAAAAGAGACACATTAAAAAAATAAAAATGTTACTATGTTTTTATGTTTACTAAAATTAAATGAAGAAATTTTAAAATATTAACTTACCAAAGTTTTAGTGCAGTGTCCAAAACCAATGTCATAAGAAATCTGATCTGTCATATCTAATATTTTCGGGCCATATGACTCCACGATAATAGAAAGACCAATATTTTCTGGATATACTATTTCAGCCCAAACTGACAGTTTGTCTCCCTTGTCAAAAAAGTGGAAAGGATGAGAAATACTACTTTCAAATGCCACAAAGGGACATTTTTCTTTCGTTTTGAAAGCTACACTTTGAACTTCCATCTTTAAGGGATATTTCTGTGGCTGTATTGTTCCATTTTGAAATACATATATGAGATATACTTGACCAGACGTATCCAAGGAAACTATTGATTTTGTCATGCTATTTGTCCATAGATGTAGCTTTACTGCATCTCTCATTTTAACCTTGAAATAAAACATTATATTATTTTCCATTTTTACCACAACATTTCCATCATAATCTGTAAAAAAAAAAAAAAAGAAAATCTTGTGTTATTCTAAGTGAGCATAAATCCATGCTCCTTTACTTAAGTGGACTTTTAAGTAAATTAATAATTACTGACAAAGACCATTTTTCTAAACTTTTATTGAGAAAACTTTCAAGTGTGCTGGCAAAACCCCACAAATTTACACAATGTTGGAGACCTTCTCTCCTACTTCATAGTAGAATGTATTTCCCTGATCCCTTTCTCTGCATTTACTATATCACCATTTTTTTCTTTTTTAACATTGGCTTTTTATTTTTTTTAATTTATTTATATTTTACATCATTGTTCATTTTTGCACAATATTTGCTTTCTCCTCATTGTCACCATAGTCCCTTGTGCTCAACCCTCTCCTGTTTGATCCCTCTTCCTCCTCCTACCCTGCAGAATGTCTCTGATTTACGGTTGCCTGTTAATTTTGGTATTTATTTATTTCTCCTGATCTCTTATTTGGTCCCCCTGTATTCCTCCTGTAAGTGAAACCCTCTGTTATTTTTCTTTTTCCTTTGACTTATTTCACTGAGCATAATCCCTTCCAGCTTGATCCAAGTTGCACCAAATGGCATGTGTTTATCTTGATTGCTGAATAGTAAAAATATATTGGATAAAGTATATATATGATATTTAACAATTTAATGTTATATATATTAAATTATAAACATGCAGTTTATGTTTAAAACATATAGTTTAGTTTATATAAACTAAACATACAGTTATATATATTTATGGTTCATAATATATATTTACATATAGACAAAAGAGCTGGAATTAGTGTATTATATAATAAATAAGGATGATCATGACAGGAATAACATTGCTTTATACACATAGCAATAAACATTGCTTTATATGTACAAATGGAAACCTTAACTCCTACTGTGTCTGTATTGGGAGATAGTGTCTTTAAGGAAGTAATTAAGATTACCTCCTACAAAGTGAGGCCCTAAATCAATAGGCTGGTAGCATTCTCTCTCTCTGCCCACCTCCCCACCCTCTGAGCCCAGAGGAAATGCCATGTACGGACACAGTGAGAAGGTGACCTCCATCCCCAAGCCAAGAAGAGAGTCTTTGACACCTTGATCTTGGACTTCTAGCCCCCCAGAACTGTAAGCAAATGAATTTTTATTATTTAAGCTATCTAGTCTGCAGGTTTTACTAGCAGAGTAACACAGTTGGGATGAAGGAAAAGGGGAGGAGAAGGGCACCTCTTCAGATTCACTCATGTAATAATTACCAACTTTCTGCCCTTACTAGATTGTTATGCCTAAACTGTGGCGTTTCCAAGGGAAGTCTCAACCTCTTTGGCTCTGTTGCCATACTTGTAAAATGAACAGTCAGATTAGTTGATTTCATACCTTTCTTTATAGACAAGGCATTTTCTGTGTACAGCTTCTAGGGATATGCTTTCCTTCATTTCCAAAATACACACAAAGAAGGAAGGTGTATTCAGAGAATCAGGGAGGTTCTGAGTGTACTGTGCTTTTATGTATGTTACATTTGGAATCTGAATAAATAAGTGACATTTTCATAAATTATATCCTGATCAAACTCCTAAGTCAAAAATCTTGATTTCGGGGGATCAGAATACTTTATTAAATATCAATGTCAGGACTCCCTGGTGGCGCAGCGGTTGAGCGCTGGGCTGCGAAGCGCTCTAACAAGTAAGGTTATGAACCTAACAAGTAAGGTTATGTAAAGGTTGGAATATTTTTCAGAGTATTTTAGTGAAACTGTAAGCAGAAATGCTCTTAATGTTGAGCCAACATGCAAAGGAATCCAAGCACCAGTGTTTATGTTAGTAACCTTTCACGTTATGCCTCCCTATGTGAGGCAAAACAGGACAGCCAAAGTACGACTTAGCAACCCAGTAAATAGGTAACATTTGTCATACAACTTAGATTTCTATGTACATGGTCTATTATGCTTTGTGTTCTTAGAAACTTCCCAAGGTGGAAGAGGAGAAAGATGAGGTGGATGACATCATAAAATATATCTTCATGTTTGCTGCACAGGATACATATAAATGATGATAAATAAAATTTAAAACCTTACAAGACAAAAAATGCGTATTGTTTTTGGATTTTATAAAATGTTTACTTTGTGATGATGGTTCTTCTTTTCTTTAGCCTGACTTGTTTTCTGTTACCACCTTTTGCCTCACCCTATACCTCTAGATATACTCAATGAATTTCAGTTCCACAAACTGTTCCCTCTTGCCTCCTGGTCTCTGCATATCTCATTTTCTCAGCCTCAAATGCTACCTCAACCCTTATCCTGACCAGTGATATATTTTTTTCTAATATATAATATTCTTCCTCTGATTTCAGTTTACATTTACTTTTCTTCAGGCCAATTATTTGATCTCATAAATCAGGATTAGATGCCCCTCCTGTATGTTTCTAGCATCCTCTCTTTTGTTTATTAAACTGCTCATTAAAATTATGACTAAGTGAACTTTGGCAGGAATATGAAGTTAAGTTGGGAGTGATTTTAACAATAATAAGGATAAGAACACTATATGTAAAATTCTATGGGATATAGCAAAAGCAATACAGAAAAAAATTCAAGCTTTTTGCTTATTCATGCTTTAAATGTTTAGGAGAAAAGAAAAAGGCTGAAGTAAATGAACTAATCATTTAACTTATGAAGCTGACAAAAGAACACCTAAGTTACAAAAAGAAAGCAGAGTGAAGAATCAGCAATAACAAAAGCAGAAATTAAGGAATTAAATTAAAAAAAGAAAATGGATTCATAAATGGTTTATCCTTTTATCCTTTTCCTCTTTGGTTTATCCTTTTATCCTTTGGTTTATCCTTTTCCTCTTTTTGAAGGAAAAGATGACAAAACCAAACCCCCCCTAAAATTAAGAAACAAACACTTGCAAGCCCAGACTAATGAGATGGTGGGGACACAAACAACATTATAAATGAGAAAGAGAATTACAGATATCAAAAGAAATTTAAAAATTGGAGTAGGAAAACTTTGCCAAAGAGTCAGACAATATAAATGTAATGAATAATTTCCTAGGAAAATACAAATTTCTGAAATTGACTCAAGAAGATTTAAACATCAATAAAAGAAAGTAAAAATATTAAAGAAATATAACAATCATGTTTGGGAATACCCAATATTGCAAATATGCAATCCTCCATTCAGTAAGTACTTATTGAACAGCTACTATGACTACACACTGTTCTAGATGCTTGGGAGGGAGTAAAATACAGGGAAAGATCCTTCTTTTGTGTAGTTTATATTCCCGCAGGGAAGGCAGACAATAAACATGAAAATAAGTAAGGTAAATAGGGAGTTTGGGGTTTAAATTAGGAGCCATAGCTAGAGGGCAAAGAGTGAATATAAACAGGATTCAGAAGATGTCTGAAAACCAAATCTTATGTGCTTCTCCACGTAGGAATCAGAAAGATGAGGATGGAAAAGGGGATGATGAGGAGTAGCCAGAGAAGTAGGAGGAAGACCAAAAAGGCAATACACCAAAAGTTAAGGGGAAAAAAAAAGTTTCAAGAAAAAGGCCATGATGATCTATCTCAAAACCTGCTGCCAGATCTTGAGCAATCACTTGGAGGTCTGTAAAGTTCAGGTCATTGAGAGCAGTTTCTGCGGAAAATTTGATTTGGATCTGTGGACTACAGGTTAAGTCTTGGCACCACCATGCTGCAGTGGCAGGAAGGGACAGAGCAGAGTATCTATGATGCTATGCAGATGGGGTAAAGGGAGCGTCCTGGAGCCCCTGGTGGCTTTCTCAGGCTTTTATTGAGCTTTTATATGTAGTGCAGCCACCAGGTACACGGCAGGCAGAGGTGCTGGGGGGCCAGGAGGTCGGCAGGCCTCCAAGCCCCTGGCAAGTCTTCACTCTGCGCTTCTCGGACTGTCTTTCTCCCCTTCTCTCTCCCGCCTCTCTCCTCTTGGCTAATATCTCTATACTGCTCCCATGGCCCACAGAAGTAAACAAGACAGCTTACAAAAATGTAACAACTGCAGGTACCCCATCAGGCAGGGCAATCCTAATGGTGGGAGGGCACAAAAGCCTGAAAACCATTTCTACACAAGCTATCACCACTATGGCCTGAGTTCAATTCCCTAGCCAGGGAGCTACCCCCATATGGTGCAGCAGACCTCTCCTGTCTCACTGGCTCCTCCCCTCAGCAGTGTATTTCAGTCTTAAAAAAATTGATTTATAAGAATGAGAGGCAGTACTTTCTTGGGGTTTTGTTGTAAGGAGAAGAAAAATTGGTTGGGAGTTGAAGGGTGATACGAGGTTAAGAAAGAGTGGTTATAAACTATGGTGACACTTCCTTAAAGTCCATGGTAAATTTGTCCTTTAACTAGTTTCTTTGAGGATCAAACTTTTAAATTTTTGCATTTTCTATAAAGTTTAGGAGACTACCTTAGGAGTAAAAAGTTTATGAATAGCTACTAATAATTGAACGTTTACGACCCGCCAAATATTGTTTTAAGCATTTTATACATAATCCCTTATCTAACCAACATGGCAGACATGTATTCTAGAATAGAAAACTGAGGCTTGGAAAAGTTAAATGACTTGCTTATGAGTTTGAATACAGACTTTTTAAACTACACAACATCTGTTATAGGTCAAATTGTGTCCCCTCAAAAAGATATGCTGGGGCCTCCCTGGTGGCGCAAGCGGTTGAACGCCACGCTGTGAAGCTGTCCGCACCCCTGCAGCACTGGTTCGATCCTGGCCAGCCAGTGAGGGTCCCACATGGCGCAGCAGACCTCTCCCGTCTCGCCTGCTGCTCCCCTCAACAGTGTATTTCAGTCAGTCTACCTGTTCTGTTCTCCGCTCTGTCCCTGGTTAATCCTCTCGCCCTCCCGTGCATCTGGCCTGTACCCCGGTTCTTGTATAAATAAAATAAATCTTTTAAAAAAAAACGATATGCTGATGTTTTACTTTCTAGTATTATTCTAGAATATGAACTTATTTGGAAATAGGTGTAATTAGTTAAGATGATGTCATACTGAAGTAGAGTGTGCCCTGGTGTCCTTATAATAAAACGGTTGTGAAGATTCAGGGAAACGCACCATAATGGCAAAGACTAGAATGATGTTGTAAGGCAGGAAATGCAGAGTTTGTCAGGAAGACTCCAGGAGTGAGGGGAAAGCAAGAGAAGATTCCACTTCAGTTTTCGAAGGGAGTTTGGAATTGTCGATACCTGGAATGTGAACCTCTGGTATCTAGAACTGTGAGACAGTAAATTTCTATTGTTTTAAGCCACTCCAATTTGTGGTAATTTGTTAAGAGAGACTTAGAAAATTGATACAAGACATCACTTCCCACACTGAAAAATGCATGAAGTTACTTTGTATCTGCTGATTGACCAAATTGAACTTCTGACAAAAAGTCTGAGTTTCCCATTTTGCTATATGAGAGTATAGTCAACATTAATAGAAACTAAAAGCTATCTATTTTTATGTGGCAAAAAAGTATTCCTTTTTAAAAACCTATGTTAAAATTGTTACACAGCATAATAATCCTATTAGAAATCTGGAATAATTTTTGTAGAATAAGGATGCCTCACCTATAACAACATCATGAATAGTGCTGTCATGTGATAATTTTGATAGGTTTCCAAATTCTGTAGGTGTTTGTACAACTCCAGTATCTGTGAGATTGTTATAACTATAGTAGATCTTATGCTTGTCCCATAGTACCAATTCCGGAATTGCTGAATAGATAAAATATGGAATTAAAAAACTATTAACACTGATATCTAATGTAAAGTCTTTGCATATCACGTGTGTTGTATCTTCATTATATATCACTAGAAACATTTGTTTGAGGTTTGTACATGTAGTACAGTACTCTAATAACAAAGCAAGTTCCAAAGGGTGTCCTGTATACTCAACATTGTGTATAACCACAGTAGACGATGGTGGTAAATGTAGATGGCCTTTTAGTTTATCAGTAGTCATCACTTTGGCAAATGTAAGAAAACTATATTCAAGATAAACTTCATGTTTTGTCCAGATGGCCACGTTGCTTCTTTTTTCTTTCTCCTGAGACAAAATTAAAAATAATTAGACCACATCTAAGGGAGGAAATCCTATACTGTGAAAAAACAAAAAAGACATATAATAATGATAAGTCATTAATTTAAAAATAAAAAATGAGTATTACATAGACATTGAAAAAACTAGATAAATAATAATGCCTCCTTCATAGAGTTTTTCTGAGGAATAAATAAATTTACACATTAAAAAAGTCTTTGATTTTAAGAACAGTGCTAACAATTTTGTCATCTAATTTTTATCCACTTTTAAAATAACATCAATATAGAAGAATATTAAAACATGAAATTATTAATTCAATAAGGACACGCGATAACTTAAATTCTGACACACCAAAAGTGTCATTTTTTGCACAGAGTCCCTTAGATTGCCACTCAGAGATATTATGTTTGAAATTTGGCCCTTCTCCCTCATCTCCCCTCTCCAAGTGTTTGTAATTTTTAGAGTTTACTGGTAATCAAAGAAAGAAACTATCTGAGGTAAAAAGTCATTTTACCAAATGAAGATACAATTTAAAATCTAATGCTTATGTTGCTGAAAATGAGGGTAAAACAATCCTAAAAGTGGAAACAAATTAGAATGAAAATGATGAGTCTTTCATAGAAAATACCCACAGTTATTCTTTTCTTGGCAGAGGTAATGGAAAGAGGAATATATCACAAACATGATTAATGGGAATTCCAAGGAGCCCCAGTCATGGGGTGAGTTTTTACCTACCCGCAGTCTTTTCTTTCATAGATCTTCATTAAGTATTTGAATGCAGTCAACCAAAGATCTTGTGGCAAGGCAGGGGAACTGAGAGATTCCCCCTGAGGTATCCAAGGCCTCTACCAATATGAAGTATTAACTCTCTGAATATGTGAGGGGGCAGGAGCAAGGCAAAAGTTTGAGAGTACTCCATCTTCATTCTGTTTTCTCATTTACCATAGACTGGAAGGGGGACACAATTACTGAGAGAAATTTTTCCTCTGAGGCATGCTTGGTCTTTACCAAAAGTATGAAGCAGTCTCCCTGCCTTGATTGGGAGAGACTAAGAAAGGGGAAGGAAGTCCCTCAAGGCATGAAAATCCAGGGGCAGCACAGGTGAAAAGAGATAAGAGATTTCCTCTATCATCAAAAAGCTGGCAGCTAGACTGAGCAGCAAAAAAAGCTCTTCTAGGGTCCATCTAATATAACAAAATTGTTGAAGAATATTGTGGAAAAGATGGGCAATCTGAGGGAATAGATGGGAAATTTCAACTGAGATATGTAAGTAGTAAAAAATGAACAAAATGAAAAAGCTAGAAGTAACAAACATGATACCAGGAATGAAGAAATTATTGGGTGAACAGAAGGCTGAACTGGGAAAAATGAAGGAAAAGAGCAGTGAACTTGAAGATATATTAAAAGCATATATTCAAACTGAAATACAAAGAAAAAATAGATTGAAAAAATGCTAACAGGTTGTCTTAGGTCTGTGGGGGCAATATTAAATGGTCTCATATATGGTTTTTTGAAATCCTAGGAGGAGAGGAACAAGATAATGGTACAAAAGAAGTATTTGAAGAGATAATGTCCAAGAGCATCCCCCCAAATAATGAAAAACTTAATCCTAGAAATATGAGAAGTCCAGTTGAACCATAACCAGGATAAATGCAAAGGAAAACACACCTAGGAGTTACAAATGCTGAAAGCTAAAGCTAAATAGCAATTACCAAAAGTAATTTTACATTAAAATTCACCTTATGTATATGAGAATAATGATGCAAAAATCACTAATTTTTTACCAAAAATGATGAAGGCTATAAAATAAAATATAATAAAATATCTTTATGGAACAACAAAACCACCTATAATTACATAATTCTGTATTCAGTGAAAAATGGCCTTCAAAAATACAGGCAAAAACTATAGACATTTTTATATAGACAACTGCTGTGAGAACTTGCAGTACAATAAATTTCAGAGAAGTTTGTCAAGCTAAAAGGTGAAGAAATCAAGATGAAGTCGTTATGTGCAGACAAAAAATAAAGCAAACCAAGGAAGTTATAGATATAACACTTATTGTTATTATTTTATACCCATATCTACAACTTTTTAAAGCAAAATATATTAACAATCTACTTTGGGATTTTTAGTTTATTTGAATATTTAGTGTACTTGGAACTTTAATATATCCTTTTCTTAAAACAGAAAAGAATACAAAGGGTGTGGAATTGTATAATTATAAGGTTTTTACAATATGAATTAGATATTATTTGAAAATACAATGATGAATTAAAGATGATTATTGTAAAGCCATGTACAACCACTAAAAAATAGTTTTGAATAAAAAAATCAGTGAGGAAACAACATAGATATAATAAAAATACTGGATTTATCCAGAGTAAGACAAGAAAGTAGAAACAAAGAAATAAAGAACAAAGGATTAATAAGAAATAATTAATAAGATTGAAGACTTAAATCCCACTATAGCAACAGTTGCATTTAATTAAATGGAGTAAACCCTACTAATTTTTTTTTTTTTTTAATTGTGGCCTCCCTGGTGGCCTAGGGGTTAGGTCTCAGGGCTATCACTACTCTGGCCTGAGTTCAATCCCCAGCCAGGGAGATAACCCATATATGGTGCAGCAGACCTCTCCTGTCTTGCCCACTGCTCCCCTTGGAAGTGTATTTCAGTAAATCCGCCTATTCTGCTCCCTACTCTGTCTCTGGAGAATCTTCTCATTCCCCACATCTCTAACCTACACCCTAGCTCTTCTACACACAAAAAAATAATAAATATTTTATTTCATTTTTATTGAGGTTATGTTGGTTTAAAACTCTGTCTATGATTCAGGTGTGTAGGATGACCCCTTTTCAGATGCAGGTTGGTAACACCATACCCAGCACACCGAGACACCCATAGTCCACCATTGTCCACTGGGCCCTGTCTACACCCTGCTCTCCAACCTTCCCTTCCCCTGGTGGTCTCAATTCTACAATCAAATATCTAGGGCTTCATACAGGTTTGGCACTAAATCTTGTTTTATTTCTCTTTTCACACATACAATTGAGAAGATCTGGTATTTGTCTTTCTCCTGAATTATTTCACTTAGCATTAGCCCCTCCAGTTCCATCCATGTTGTCACAACTGGCAAGGGATCATCTATTTTAATTTTTATATGTCTCAGTATAGGTTTCATTTTGTTTAGGTACCCTGTGGCACTTTCAGCTTTCTGGTTTGTACATGTAGTCTCTTCCCTAGGTTTCAGAAGTTTTCCTACATTACTTCTTTAAATAGACTTTTCTGTTCCTTTCTCACTCTTTGCCCCTCTGGTATTCCCATTATTCTTATGTTGCCTTTCCTCATGAAGTAGAAGAAATCTCAGAGAACTTCTTCATTTTTTTCTTCATTTTTCTTTTTCCTGTTCTACCTGTTCTTTGTTCTTCCTGTTCTTTGTTAATTCACACTTTCAAGTACACTGAATCATTTTTCCATTGGAACTAGTCTACTTCACTGACTTTCTCCTGAAATTTTCATCTTCTGTATATCTCTCTTTATATCCTGAAACTCTATTGTTATCTTATTGAGCTCTTCGTTTTCTACCTTCAATTTATTGATTCTTTTTCTAAAAACATTCATTATTTTTCCGAGCTTTCTTGGTGTTCTTCCATTTCTTTATCATGGCAATTTTATATGCTGCCTCTGATAATAAGAACATCTTCCACTTCTTTGATGTTGGGTTCTGGGGGTTTGTTGCCTCAGTGTATATAATGTCATTCACTGGAAAACTCACAAGGCTGTTTGTTGTGATGTTACCTTCTACCCATTATTTGCTTTGGGGCCCAGCTGCTGTAGGTGAGGCTTCCGCTCCTTGGGGTTCCTCCCCTGCACTGGTCAAGGGTCTCACTAGTCTGGGTGGGCAGCTTGTGGGGTCTTTGCAGGTTCTGAGTCTTCTGACACCAACCTTCTGCTGTGGGTCTGGGGTCCCAATGATTGAGTGGAAGGCTTGGTATTTCTTAAGGGAGCTGTAGTAGCTTGGCTTTCAAGTCATTTATCCATTTTATTTATAGTTTTGAATTTGTTTCAACTTAGTGTGTACAATTGCATGTAACATGCTCTTAATAGCAACAGGCTTTATAGTGATTCTACTTCTCTCAATCCTGATATTGGTAATTTATATCTTCTCTCTTTTTTAAGTGACTGAAAAATAATCAATTTTGAGACTTTTAGCAAGATGGCAACAAAGGATGGAGAACCTCACACTCTGTGTATTCTTGGCCCCATTACTGCAGAAAGAAGCTGAAAATAGCCCACGGTAAGATAGAGGACTATGGAGGGCACCTGAAACAACATCCATAGATGGGAGCCCCTGCAGCTGCAACCAGAGGCTCACTACAGGCCAGCTAAGGACTGAGGGAACAGGGTTAATGTCACACCCAGGTACACCTAGTTGGGGAAACCAAACCTTCAGTTCCACACTTGAGAGGCATGTGGTCCTCAGTCTCTAGATCCCACTCCCATTTTAGATAGGAATCCAGCTTCCCCTTGACATCAGACTATCTCCTGATATCAGAGAAGAAGCACCCCGTCCTCAGAGATCCCTGAGGGAGTCAGGAACTCACTCTAACCGTTGGGCAAAACAGCAGCAATGCCCTGCTTTCAGGGCCCATTATCAGAGCCGGGGAGCTCAGTCTGGCTCGAAGTCTTTGGTCTTAGGAGTCACAGCCCTGTCTCCAGAGACCTACTGCTTTTCAGCAGAAGTGTGACCAAGTGCGGCCACACCCTGACGGCTTCTTCAGCCAAGCACATGTGACCCAGCAGGCTAGCAATCTTCCCTCCTAGCAGCATCCTGCCTAAGCCTGTTGCTTCCTGTATGGAGCCACATCAAACCCTCTCCCTCACAGAGGCTTTTGCCCAAGTGCATCTGATTCTGCCCTGTCCACAGGCTTCCAGGACAGTGCATTAGCCTGGGATCCATGGTGTAGGCAGGGGGCCCAGCTCTGCCTCTGGCTGTCAGAGCCAC